AGGCTAACGAGGCAGTATTTTTAACTCTGAAGTGCCACTGTCTCTTTTTAGGTAAGCGTGTAGATGGATGGCTGCCATGCAAACAGCCAGCTCCAATGCAAGAGGTGACCATCAGCTCCTGGTCCCGGTGGGCAGAGCCCCAGCTTCTCATTTTCAGTGGGCTAAGATGATGGAAACAGCTGGAACGGCTAGATTATTTTTTTGGGGGCTGCTTAATTAACAGTAATTGTTAAACTAATTTTGGGCAATTTAGAAAATGGCCATTAAACTCTGATTTTTGTGGCAAGCGGTACTAGACCACCACGCACCTCTTTTTAAGGTTCCCTCGCTGCATGCAAGGCACTCCCCAGGCAGTGGAAGATGCATCGCCCCTTTTCTGTCCGAGCTCCCCAGATTCTGGGCCAAACGTGTCAAGGAAAGCTGTATCGATCAATTCAAATTCCCTTTTTGGAAGCCATCCAAGGCAGTAGTCCGCACACTTAGCATCGCACAGTCGAGATTGATTTTTGTTCTTTTTCCTCTTTCCATGGACTAATATATCAATTTCCCTTTTGCAGACTAACTTTATAGCAGCGTCTGTAAATCACGGAAGAAGCAGTGTGCTCAACGTGAGCAGAATTTGAGGAAGCTGCTTCAAATTTAGCAAAAAATTAAGCACCACGTCATTAGCATCCTGTCGATACTTGGAAACGGCGAAGCGTGCAATAACACGCCTCCGTTATTGCAGCCTGAGTCTTGAAGGCTCCCCAGCCCGGTAAAAGGCAGGACGCCTGCAGCAAGGTGAATACGAACTACACGAGATGGCAGCAGCTCTTGAACTTCATACCACAAGGAATCACCTTGTTGGTTGTGTATTAAACAGCTGTGGTTTGCACTTTGAAAGCTCCTATTATAGGCTGAAGCCTCAGAAAATCACGACGTCTGCATTTGTAAAGCCCTCATCTAAAAGGAGGTGCTTCAGCTCAATATCCTTGCTAACTAGCGCTTGCTCTACTTGATAGAAAAGGGACTTAAAAATGAGACTATGCCGAGATGATTGCGACGGTCGACCTTCCAGGTTCAGGAAAAACTGCAGAGGACACAGACCACACGCAATATGAGATTTTGCTGGCACGCATTTTGCCAAACCACCTCTTCAGAGGAACTTCTCTGTGCTTCATTTTGTAACTTCCCCTGCCTCCCACTCCCCTTCCTTGCTTAAAAGTCAAAACCCAGTTAAGTTGATTCTCGCTATTGAAAATCTAGTCAAAATTAACAAGTTGGTAATGGCCCATTGCACATAAAAACCTAGCAAAATACTTCCAGGCTTTCTATAAAATAAATTGGATGCAGGCGCATTCTTCACCATCCTCTTAAGCCTGCCATCTGTGCACACTAAAAATAAAGCAGCGGCTTAAGGAGAGGTTTGATAAAATGCATCCGAGAAATGCATTGGTAAAGCTCTGCCAGGCTCTTAAAATGACTTTGAGATGCCAAACGGGCGCCGCAGAGGGGCTCTTCATCACTCTCCATGTTCAGCCGGCCTCTACCCGACCTGCTCGGTGCGCAGGGCAATGCCGGCAGCGTAAGAGACACCGGCTGGTGCCGGCATTAGCCAAGAACTCTTTTTCCATGAAAGCAAAGTTGCTGCCAAACTGGCAGGAAAGGCACAGCTAATTCAGGCAATTTATTCAGTGAGTAAAAAGAAGGCAATTAGCTACCTACAATTAACATGAGTGGGTCCTCAGGCAGAGAGTGGGACGAATGTACATGCATAGGGAAATACCATCAGTTTGTACGACATGAAACTTTCCATCCGCTCTGTCGACAGCCGCTACTGCCCCGCAGTTGGGGGTTTAAGGAAGCTGCAGTTTCTGTCCCACCAACGTGGCCACGCAGGAGGGTGAAGGGTATCTCATGTCCGTGATAATTTCTCCGCTTCACTCATAACCACTTTTCAAACTATGTCCTTCTCTCGTTATCACTTCTAGCAATTATTACAGAAATAGGCAAATGAAATATTATAAAATGCTATGAAATATTTATATATAAAAATACTTTATTAAGCATTCTTACTATGTGCTTAATTATAATTAATTTAGGAGAATGACATGCAGAAGTGTGAAATCATCGATTAGACAGCGAATGAAATGGGTGCCACTGCTGCCTCCTGTCAGCAGAAGCCCCAGCACGCTTAGCAGCCACGACGGGATGTGGGTTAGGAAGCAACATGGTGAATTCCGAGTGCCAGGACAGCAAATGGTTCACCCGAAGTCAGCCCATGAATCGGTCTGACAGCCATTAACAGAAATTAAGGGGTTTGCTGGCTGCTCGCATTAGTTACCCACGAGGAGGGCTGAGCCAGCCCTTCTGATGGGAAACGCGGATAGTTTGGGGTGGTGGTTTCCAGCAGCAATTGTTTCGCATAACGTGAGCAATTACTGCTGATGAATAAGAGTGATCTTTAAGACTTGACTACATCTAATCTCATAGTAGCGATAGTACAGTCTTAACGCCGCTACCTAAATACACTTGACAAGATATTGAATCAATCTAGCACAGAACATCTTGCCAGGCTGCGATAGCGAGATCAGTAGTTTAAATTTGAGATGCAACTTTCTCCATGAGGTGAGGCAATCCGTTAATAAGCTACCAGGACTTAATACCCATAATATTGCTGATAGCGACACCTAATCTGTTCTTCCAGTAACTCAGTTCCTCCTGATTTTCCTCTCTGACACCAGAGATGGATGCGGGACCGCAGTATTTTCCCCCCGATGCTGTTTTATGGTGATTAACCACAGCGAGTACACGCACTTTGTATACTCCTTTCCCTTGGAGCTTCCTCCTCCCTGCCCGAAGCTCATCACTTGCCAGGCAGAGACTTGTGGCAAACCTCCTCGGGGCCCGTTTGCCTTTCAGCAGCTGTGGCAGCAGCAGCCCCCGTCCCCAGACTGGGCAGCCATACCCCACACCCCTTCACCTGAAAAAAGCACCAAAAAGCCTTAGCGCAGCAGCTGCCCTTCACATGGCACCGTCGTACCTGCTCGCGCTCCCCCTCTTCACCCACACCGGCCCCTCAAATCCGCCTTTAGCAGCACAAAGCTTGGATAACCCCACCCTCCACCCCCTCTAGGGCGGACAGCCTACCTGTACGTGCACCTTTTCTTCTCATGTGGTTTTAAGTGATCAGCTAAAGCAACAGCTCTCGCTCACTGTATTTGAGGACTCGTGGCAGTGAGCTCTGAAGCTTTGGATTTCCTGTTAATATAGTAGCAGCAAAGAGTAATTAGAAAAAGGGTGTTAGGATTTTCTTTCTTGGCATTTCCAGCAGTGCATTGTCCAGTGTCAGATTCACAGAAAAATTCAGGATTAGAAACTGTAAAATATGGGTTTGTTTAGACAGCAAGGCAGGACACCTTTCTGTGGCCGAAGCTTATGGGAGCACCTGACCTAAGGAACATGGACAAGAGCAGAACAGCTTTAAAGTGGTGGTAAAAGTTTATCTGACCGTAACTAATGGCTGTGTTTTCAAGAGTGCTCAGTGTCCTGCAGCCATCAGTATTCCCAAAAGCCAAGAAAAACTCTCCTCGCCAAAACCACAGCGCACTGGTACTGTTAGCAGAAGTAACAGACACATAAAAACCAAACCAGATCCCGATGCTAAGATATTTAAAAAAAAAAAAAAAATCTCTCTTTTAAGTTCACCCGAACTCTAATTTTGATCTAAATATGGCCACATGGGGGTAGGAGTAAAAAAGATAAAGCAAGTGGGTTTGAGGAAGGCAGCAGTAACCGACCAGAATGCAGGTACCTTCTCAACAGCACTGAGCATCATGCAGCAGCTCGCCGTAGGAAGGATGGTTCGTCGTAGGCAAGCTCGTCCCAGATCAGCTTGAGACAAGATGAACTCTTCCTAACAGACTGACAAAGCAATTTAAAAATACAAAAATATTCCATGCAAATGGTTCAAAAAGTTTATTGAATATTTAATTTACAAAAAATCATATCCCTATGAGGTGTTCTATGCAAAATTGGATAAAATAAACTGCATATAAAACCCAACCCTAGTAATGCAAATACAACACAGAAATGAGACCATGGAAAGGAAAAAAAAAATACATAATCATGACACACACATGACATTCATTAAGGATTGTCCCAACCGGCCAAGAATTGGTTCAACATGATGCCTTCTTATACATTTTACCATTTTATACAGGTCTTCTATATTCCGTTGGTCCAAATTTACAGTTTGTAAAAATTCTTTGCATTCTTTCTTAGCTACTACACCAGTTCTGCCATTCCCGTTTTGATCAGAAGGTGGAAACAGACAGTACATACATTGAACATGTGCACTATTAGATGCAACTTGCTATCTTTGGTAGGGACCCTAAATCTGCAGTGAAGTGAGCTTTCTAGGACGATGAGAATTTCAGGTTTAGTTTTGGCAAAGAACAGGCTTAATTTTGCTGTTTAGTAGAACGTTACTGGCGGTTTCTGTTGAACGTACAAAAAGTAAAGTTGTCTCTTGTACGGTTTAAAAATTGAGATCATCTCTATGGGTTTTAAATCTAATTAATTGTATAAACATTCCTTGACTCAAATATAGTTACATAAAATGTCATTACTGCACAGCAGGCCATTCCTTGCATGGACAAAGGATGTATTGCACACAGAACACAACTGCAATCCCATCCTGCCTTTTTGCTCCCGTTTTAAAGCAGTGAGACTATTCCCGCAGGTAATAGACAATCAGTGCTAGAGCGTTTGCAGCCCTCCTCTGGCATAACATGAACAGGAGGAGCAGGAACAGGAAAAAAGAAAAAAAAAATAAAATCAATGCATGAGCCAAGGAACTTCCAAAGAAGGAAAAAGTAACCAGACTGTTTCCTTCATAACATTAATATTCCATAAATACTGGGCAGTATTTGATTTACTGCCATTAGCTGCAACTTTCAAGCATTCTCTTTGCTTTTTCACACACTATCTGGAAAAGAAGAGAAAAAATTATGCACTTCCCCAGTCCTCCCCCCTCCTGCTTAGTGGAAATGCAAATAACCTGCATAGCCATGATTTTCTTAGCTGAAAACATTTAGTGGAAGACTAACTAGACTTAAACACTAAGTAAATCCGCTCACTTATGAGTAAAACATGCAATATTACGACAGACAGCTAATTGTCCTCAAAAAAGCTTTTTATGACAATTGCTAATTTGGCAGAGAAGAAACGTTTCCAAATGCATGAAAATCATTTTAAGAGCCTTAGTGAAGAACATAGTAGTTACAATATATTAGCGATTTCTGTGGCATAAACATTTTAAAAAGCATCAGCAAAGTATTAAATATAAAAGCAATATGTATATACCCTCCATCCTCAGAAAAGCATCATGATTTGTAGTGTATTAAGTCAGATTTATTGACTGGGGAATTAAGGCATAACCAGTAGACAATAGTCTTTATTGTCTCAGCTCCACATAATTTGCGGGGAACAACCCGTATCGGCCTTTGCAGACACCCCTCCACCAGCCGTCATCGATCATTTCTATGTTTGTGATGATGTCATCTGGGTCAAAGGAAATCTCGTCATCACCCGCTGGAAAGAGAGTTGAAGAGGTTCAGTGCTGACAGAGGAGCGGTCCACACCACAATCCCACCTATCATCCCACCATCGCTACAAGTAGCACTGACACCCGTCACCCTCCTCTCTCCCAACGGGGCACCGGGCAATGACAATCTGTAAAGACGGACTCTTTCTCATCCTCTGGAGTGATGAGGTCATCAGTTCTTACCTATTGCATTTTGGGTGCATTTCTAACTTAGAGCAACAATTGCTACCTAACACATCGAGAACCACTTTACTTTCCTGATCTCTCCTCAGAATTAACCAGTCAAGATTTTAACCAAGTACGTATGCCAAAGGTTTAACAAGAGCGTTAACACTTGGTTAAGAAAAGATTTTGAAAACTTCCACTGCTTCCAGAAAGAGCGGCTAGTCATTTTCAAAAGTGTCTCAATGCTAAATCACTAAATTCCTAATTCTTCGTTTCTTCATTTCATTTATTACAACAAGAGGCTACACCATGAAAGGCAAAGGAAAAACCCAGACTTATCTGTGCAGAACAGAGTTTTCAAAGACAGGGTTAAAAACAAGAGCTTTGCTTACCAGCTTGGTAATCATAAAGGGCTATGGCTGTAATTCCAAGTTCATTTTCATACTCATCATAAGCATTTTCTTCTAAAGAGAGAGAGAAGAAAAATTAGAAGCATGAAACGCACTACCTATTGACCCCCAGTTCTTTTCTATGGTGCTCCTCCTTTAATTCTACTGCTAACCCACGCAGGAAGCAGGGAACAAACTATGCAAGTTTTTAGCACTGCTGATGTACCTTCTGAAATGGACTTTGTCCCTAACTCACACACAATTAAAGCCTGAAAGGAAGCGTTCACAAGTAGTCATTTAATACAGTATAAAATGAAACCGATCAGCCTTGTAACACTGTTGTACAATGCGACAGAACAACTGAGCTCAAGACCAGTGTGTAAGAGAGTATTTAATACCTTGTTAAGGGTGCACATTGCGGGGGAAGGAAGGGGCCTGTTTTAAAATTTCCCAGTTTTCATACCAGAGCAGGTTCATTCTTCACCCCTCATTTAGTAACCAGAAGAGATGAGAAAAATGGGAATTCAAAAGAACTGTATTCCTACACTTTCATTACTTCTAGACATCCTGCTCCACTCCCTCATAGGCACAGAACACATCACATTGATTTCAAAGTCCAAGAAGTGCTGACAGAATTTTTTGCTTGTAGGCCAGCACCAGCACTGGCCCAACACGCATTTAATCTCCATCTCTGTGCTTTCTTCTCAAGTTAAGCTGCATTACACAGGGTGGAAACGGTTACCCCTACATTTCTTTTTGAACCGAAACTCTGGAGAGCGCTGTAATTATTCCAGCATCATCTCGCAAAAGTTAAGTAATTTCAACCTTGCTCTAGCCATATCTTAATTTCCTAATTAAAATTTGTTGGTGGAGAATCTAAAAAGTCTCATCAGACTAAGACTTTAGAAACTAGGACAGTGTGCTATCAGCAGAACTATTCATTAAGTCATTGCCCAAGGAAATAGCCTTTATCTTAAAGCGCTTCATATCTGAAACAAACACTCTACCTGCTTGGTAGTGGTCTCCTGCCCCTGCCACTTCATACACAGTCTCTGGTTCATATTCCGCCTCTCGCTGACTCACTGCTTCTTGGTAGTCCGACTCTGCAGCTTTGTAGCCAGACTCTGGCTCACGCGCTGCTGAATACGTTGTGCTGGAATTCTTGTAGGCAGACTCTGCTTCATAGGAAACTGCATCCTGTGGACATACAGGTGAGGTTCATCAGTTTTGTAAAAAGGTTCCTACGCTTAGGATCAAAAACCAGGTACTGAAAGTGATTCTAGCAAACCTCATAGACTGGGCTCGTGGGGGCCTTCTGGTCAGTTGGCTGCGTGGTAGGAGATGGCGGTGGAGTTTGTTTCTTGGCTTTAGCTTGTTCCTTAATGGAAGAGAAAGAAACACTTCAGTGTGGTGTAATCACTGATATTATGACTCTGAACAAGAAACAACCCTCCAATAAGAAAGACAGGCGGCAACTTCTGAAATAAACTGATGTGGGCACGGAGCAGAAGACGACTGGACTGGCTGGGACATTAGACCTGCCTGAAGGTTTAGACTGGCTGTAGAGTAAAGCCTCAGAAATACAGCAATGCAGAAGAGAAAAAAGTGAAGAAAGAAAAAACGCACAGTATGTATGCATACATGTGTTTAAAAACAGAGTACCCAATGTTCTTTGGCACGTTTCCATAGGAGCTGCAGGGTTTCTGTGTTCAATATATTCATTCTGTTCATTAGCTGGCTGGGCCTCATGTCCCATTTTAGCGTAAGTGTAGAGATCCCGAAGCCCGTATGTTCTAATTATACAACTGGTATATTATCTTTGATGAGAAATGATCATACAAGCTCTTGCAGGTCTGCAAATCACCTGCTAAGGCAAAAGACTGAATAGCTCAGACAAAACTAAGTCCTATATACTGACAATGAGGGATTCTAACGTTCAGAAGAGTTATATGTGGTAGAAATAAAAGCAGTATTACTATCGTATTCTGTGACACAAAGAACGTGGGTCTCAATCAAGTGTTCTGGCACTCATGCACTTCACACTGTGCCATCCCACCTGTGAATCAGAGGGCAAATCAACAATCATTAGAAATCCATTCATTAGAAAGCCAGGATACTGTAGCACAAGAAATGCTACATTGCTTGCATGACTTAAAAAAAAAATCCCCAAACCCACAGACTCTAAGCTAGCTATTTCATTTTGCCTCTCTTTACCACAGAGAAAAAGAAAACTGTGGATCTAGGGCCAAACTTTCTTCTTTATTGTAAAAAAGAAAAGAGAATACATGTTATGGGAGACTGTGCACTCCAGTTGTTTAGGTCCATCAAGCTGTAAGTCCCCAAAGGATCCTCAGGAGAAACTGTAGTCCAGAGATGAAGTGATAGAACTCGGCCACAAAAAAAAAAAATCTTCCTTTCCTTTGTTTGTCACAGCTCAGAAAAAATACATCTAACAAAGGAAGCAAAGCGTGTCTTGAGAACAGAGCCAGCTTTGAAGACAAGTCAAAGCTTAGTGCTGTGCTTTCTGGAAAAAAATCTGTCCTGATGTGAACAGCCCTCCCTCACTTTTAACTCCTGCACTACAGATAAAAAAGCACCAGCAAAGTGTTTACTAGAAGTCAAATCTAAGTTTGGGGACAAATTAAGAAGTACCAATCCATTAACAATGTCAAACATGGCAACAATTTGAATAATTTGTCCTAGAAAAGGGGTCTCCGCAATCCAGACTACAGTTTAGGACAGCCACAGCACAATTGCCATAAGACATTTAAATTGCATGGTCCTCCCTCAGTCTGGGTTTCTTCCACATTGAAACGCTCCATGTGAAAGAGCATCCCGCCTTGTTCTCTAAGGTAGCAGAGGCTAGCGAAGTCATGAGGCACCCGTCGACTCAAACCAGCAGTTAAAGAAGAGCTCCCTGAACACCATTTGACTACGTGACATATGTGAAAAGCAAAACAGAAAAAGGAGTACCAGTAAACAGAGTTCTTGAAGGAATGCAGTCCATATGTACATTCCCATTGTGGGAGTACGTATGCCCACGTACTGACTTGAAGTGAGAGAACTTTCTGTCTGTGCAAGGAAGTTCACTTAAAGAAATAAAGTTCACTTAAGTCAAAGTCCATTCCCACCCTTTACAGTATCTGTGGATGGTGTGGCTTACGTCCCTTCCCTTTTCATGCTCAGCTTGTGAGCAAGGGGCAGCGCAGCCAGTGCCAGTTTCCCCTTAACCTCGTCCTTCCTCCCTCAGTGTCTGCAGAATCACACAATTAACCACGGAGATGCTCAGTCTGGAAGAGCATTAATCACTTGGTTATGGTGAAATTTAAATATCAGCTTTGGAATAAAACTTCAACTGTGTCCAGGCAACAGGATCTTTGATGAAGCACAAGAAAAAAATCAAGCATAACGGCTTGAATTTAACCCACACTTACAGCAAAAATAACAGGAAAGAAAGAAAGAAAGAAAGTAATTTTTGAGAGAGAAAGGGGGGAGGGGGAGAAAAGACATAACAGTTCAATGACTCATGAGAACCTGTGTTACTACATTTAAAGCCTTCTGGAGAACTGTTTCCTCAGCAGAAGGAAACCTCAATGAAAAGCTGAAAGGGTAACAAAAGCCTAAATTCACCACCCTCCATCCACAGATCTTACTTACGAGCATATGATCACCCAAAATGAATGGCAAGAGAGCTAATGGAGAAGCTGAACTTCTTCCCCGACTCAGCCCAGATTACAAAGCCATGCAATGGAAGGGAATACTAAGCAGAAAGCCTGACTACTTTGGCAAGATATATGTCATCTCCTCACTGGTTAAAAAAAAATGGCTCCAACCGCACAAATAGGAATAGTCTAATGGAGAGCCATTCAGCATCAGTAGCATCAAGTGCATTGTTTCAAGATTGAGATGAGAGAGACAGACAAGCTGTTATACAGGTCAGACTGAGAGAACTGAAGAAGTCACTGAAAGGCAAAAGCAGCCCAGTACCAAAATGCACAGGCCACATGGGGACAATGAGAGCCACCAGGATGATGCCCTGCCCTAGCCTAACCACAGCGCTTGGCAGCAGGGGTACCTGGAGAAATGCGTGCACCGGTCCGCTTGGCCAATCTCAGGGGGGTACCCAAGACCAAACCTGGACACAAACCTTCTCTGAAAAAGAAGCATCGATACTTTCTGTGTTAGCTGTGCAACCTTTCAAAAAATCCACGCGGCCACCAGAGCAGATTTCCCAGTTCTCGCTAAGGACTGTGAGACAGCTCATCTATCAGAGCTGAAGGACTGACATGTGTGAACTTCAGAGAGCCCTGTCCCCCCCCACACTTATCACTTAGGGCAACTGCTGCTTTGAGGGAACAGAGGATCTCTCCTAAAACATATTATGCTGTCATCACTCACAAGCAAACATGAAAGCTCTTTTCTCCAAATGGACCAGATCTCCAGAGCACTGGCACATAGCAGTTGCTCCTTATGAAATGCAACGTTGGTGCGATGAAATCACATGGTATTTTAGAATATACTGATATCCCTACTTGCCAAGACAGAGGGAACATAAAGGGCAGGCCCCTGGAGACACAGCTGCCACCACATGAAGTACCTCCTTGAATCTCGAGGAACATTGACCAGCTTGTAGCAAAGGTGCCGAGCAAAAAACATATGTAAAGTACAGAAAAGGTCAGTATGAGGTATCAAGTTGCCACATACCCTAGCAAAGAGAGAATTTAATGAGGTAGCCACCTAAGAGGTGAAGCACTGAGTTAAGGATAAAGTGTCCTGGGATCCCGCAACAAAAGAACTCTTACCATTTGAGAATTGGTAATTGCTCTGTGTCAAGTTTTTCACTTCAGAACATTCACTTTAAGACCCAGGCATTCAAGGATGGACCGCACTGTTTACAGGGACTGCTCTTTTGTAGCATTCCCTGTAGAAGTGACAGTCCTCAGCTGAGGACCTGTGATCTCGTAGGTGCAGAATGGCCTTATTAACAACACAACACTTCTGATATCCATCAACCTATACCGTGGTTCTTCCTTATTTGGGGAACTGTAAATGTATCCACTAAACTAAATCCCACAAAGATAACAATGCTGCTTGTTTTAAGTCACAAGTCCTAATGCTATCCTGATCCAATGTGCTGACAGAGGAAAACAAGTGCCAAAAAAGGGAGATCTCTTGAAGGAGGAGCAAAGTTGCACTTTCAAGAGCAATGTACACCTCAAGGATATCTCCAGGTTGTGTCCAAAAGAGTATTCATTCCCATTCTTCATCACTCCATGGAACAGACCCCAGAGCAGAGGGACTACAGCTCTTTGACTAGAGTTGCAGCATCGGTGGCAAGCACAAGGACTGGGGAGGATGAAGAGCAAAAAAATCACTTTGTTAGGGAAACAACCAGGTGCTCGACCTAGATACTGGCAATGCATAAGCTTAAACACACTGAAACATGCTGGGAACAGTGGACAGTATTTCAGGAGCAGGGACAGCCTGGCAATAGCTAGAGGAGCACGCGGGGACACATGGTCATAGCATTCTACTCTGCTTCTGAGTGAGCAAGTGCTGAGGCATTTGACTTTTCTCATCTGAAGAGCTGCCAGAGTAACTCTGTGGACTGAGTGCATTTCAGCTTTACTGCTCTGAGGAGAGAGGAACCAAGTGACTCTCCTCAAGATAAACATTCAATTTTTCTCTGTGTGGCTCAGTGCTGGAGGCTGGTGCCAGTGCCGAGAACGACACAGAGAGGTCCAAGTTGACTAACAGAGTGGCACCCTGGAGCAGGATTGCTGACCTTATCAAAGACTGAATTCTCAGCTTCAGCTCTTTATCTCTTCTTCTCCCAGCTTTAAGAGTGGCAGATGCTGTGTTAAAGGTGTAACACGATTTTCTCAAGAACAATGAAGAAACCCAAATAGGGGGAAGGTATTAAAAGTCCACAAAGTACACAGGGATGAAATGCAGCATTAGAAGAAAACACTGATACACAGAGATGAACTACCATTCATCTTGTGATAAATGTAAGCAGTGCACATATGCTCACACCGTACATCTTGAAGCCATAAGGCAAAAGAGGTGATAAGCTGAAAGAAAAAAGAAGAAAAAAAAAAAAAAGGCAGAAATCACTTTAGATGGAGAGACTTAATTTATCCTATGAAGGTAGAATTTCCCAAATTCCAAACTCAAAAGGAAGTTAGTGGTTTTCAGAAATCAAACTATACAAAAGATAGATGAACCATGCAGTTTCAGCACAGCAAAACTGCAGAGCTATTTCAGAAGCAGCACTGCCCTGCACACCTGTGACCAGCAGAGTTGAGAAACCAACCAATGAACCAGGCAGGGGAACTGATTTGGGTTAACTAGATGTTTAATTTCTTAGGGTTCCTTTTCCACTTTTGTGTGACTATACAGATGCTTTGCTGGCATAAGGAATAAGGTGGCTCGAGAGTGCTGCCATTAGCAGCCATGCTGGTTTAGGCTAGCTTAGTCAATGTGAAGTAACGTGCAGTTTCACTGCAGTGTATTCCTCTTAGGTTAGGAAGATCGGAGCTAGGTTACCATAAGCCTACCATGCATTTAGTTTTTCATACTTGTAAAGCAAATTATTTACATCAAGTCTAAATTTGTGATGAATCAAAGGGATGAACACCACACCCTGACATCCTGTAGCAGCATCCCGCTAAGGGGAAGTATCTACCACATCTGAGAAACCAGTCATTGGGTCTGCCCCATTTGTCGTTAGGCAAAGGACCAAACAGATCTGAGAAACCATCTGACAGTCTTTCCTGGATTCCAGATGTCTCACAGAGGATGCAGAGACAAGTTCACACGCAAGAAGATTTATTAGTAGGGTCTGCAGCTGGTGGCATACATTGGCTCTAACAATGAAAGACACTTTTGGCGGAAAATAAAATAAAAACAAAAGAGGAGAAAGAGAGAGAGAAGAAGTAGTAAATCGGAAAACTCCCCCATAGCCAGCCAGCAAGAGCAGTGATGAGGGTCCCAGACAAGCATTCTCCTCTGGGAGGGTGTCTTCAGTGTAGCAAGCGGCAATGATGAAGGTGATAAGGACAACCATTTTTCCTGTGCATCTCCTTGAGTACTACGTACTTTTCATAAGGACCTGCTCAATCTCCCTACTGGTTATTCCTGCTTGGGACACTATTAGCACTAGTTGGAGAATGCTGGTTCACCATCAGCGATGCATTGCTGTTAAGTCTCAGTGCACATGTAGGGCTAAGTAGTATTTATTCAGAATTTAAGACTCCTATCTTTTCGTGTCCTATGTTTAATCTTCTCTAGTGTAAACTACTATCTGTAAAACTGGAAGTGATGGAGAAGGGGAAAAGAGGGACTATTCTCATGCCAGCATCAATTGCTTCCCACTCCCTACCACAGTATCAGTGCGAGGCCATTGAAATCAGAGTGAGAGCATGGGACCACAAGGGAAACTGCCAGAGGCTCTGGATAAACACTGCTACAGCAGCTTGCAGGAAAGGTTACACAGCTGCAGACAGCAGGCCCTCAGGATTATTGAAGATAAGCAAACCAACAAGACATGAGGACAAGTTGCTATTAAGGCACTAGTCCTTCCATGTCAGCAGCAGAGTTTCACCAAATATGCAAATTCTATAAAGCAGGTAAGACGTAGTTTGTGACTAAATATCTCCTGGAATTATTTTGCTTATGAATAACACAGAAATCACGAAGCTTTTAACCATGCCAATGCTAAACTAATTTTCTTAATTCTCAAACTAAGATTCAATTAACATTTGGAAGATTATTTCCTTCATGGGTGTGGGCTATACCAATGGCTATACCCCCATCTTCCACAATCCTGATTCCAAAAAACCAGCACCACGGTATTAAATTTCTTGAATAAGCATTCATACAGGGCCTTTCGGGGACCACATGTCTCTCCCCTTATGAGCTCCTCTGTGCCCAAGGGAATCTGGTATCACCAAGAGGCCAAGATACAGTAGGAAAAGGGCAGGCTGCAAAGATTAGTGGCCAAGACTAGCATACATATTTTGGGATAGGCTAAATTAAAAAAATTATATACTATTAAGTGTAAACCTATCACCCTATCCAATGTCTGCTACACCTATGGTGTATGCTGAGAGATGGTCGGAGTCACAAACAGGTAAAGCACAGGTACAAACACAGGCAAACACACAAAGAGCTTTAAAGCCTGGCTGGAAAGAAGGAAAGTATCTTTTCTTAAAAGATTCACTTTTCTCCCAACATTGCATCGAAACAGACTAGACACACTGCTCAAATAGGATTCGAATCTTACTGACCTCCAGTTTCCTTCGAGCCTCCTCCTGTTCTTGTTTCTCCCTGGCCATTCTTTGTGCTCTCTCAGCTTCTGCCTTCCTTCGGTCTTCCTGCTCTTTTTCCTTGGCTAGGTTTTCAAAGTTAGCTCGGATGCTGCTTGTTTTATTAGCAACTGTAACAATTGAAAAAATTAAAGTCAAACGTTGTTTAAGATTCTGTATAAAGGTAGTGTGGAATGAGTTTTTGGTACAAATTTCTGCTAGAATTGAACACGTTTCTGCTTTTCTGCTCTCTGAGCTCAGTTCAAGAAAGTCCTTCTATCCCTCTTTCTCCCTCTCCCCTTCCAAGTCCAAACTTCTTGTGCACTACTTTCTCTTCTATAAAAACCTTTGCAACACTTCTCCCTCCTCTCCTTCATGGCACAGTCTCCACCACTCTGCTCCCCTACTAAAGTCTATTCTCCACTGGGATGCTTTTTATTCTCCCTTCCTCAACTCTAATGACCCTCAAGGGAAAAAAAAAAACCAACAACAAACCAAAACAACGTCTAAGGGGAGGAGGGAGAGCATAGCTGAGGTTGCTAGAAACCTGCAAATACAGCAGTTCCCCCTAGATGATTCTTACTCAGCACTACTACATCAACAGAAATATCCTGGGGTTTTGAACACTATCACCTCCAAAGAAAGGATTTGGGGCCAATGCCTTACCAGCTTCTATTGGCTTGGTCTTCTGATAAGTTGATGCTGGTTTCTCAATATCTTCAAAAGTTGCTGCATTCTATCAATAAGGAGGAAAAGAGTACATTTAAAAAAACCCCACAAATTCATGAAGACATTCAGACAGCTTTGATCTGTGACATTTTATTGTGATATTGCCCCTACGGCTTTTTTTTCAGAACACCAAAACAAAATCAGGAAAAATCAAAACTTAACAAATGGAATAATTCTTTCTGTAAACCAAACTATGCAAGAATTAATATTCAGGGACGGTTTTAAACATATTAAAATCCTATTAATTAAAAAAAATGTGGTTTATGAACAGATGACTCATCAGAACTAAAAATGAGTCAATGTCCAAAACATGTATTGTGTAGCTGTTGCTGTTCTAATCTACATTGTGCAGGACTTCTACTAAGGTAAAAGAATCCAGTTCCCTTAAAGAAGTAGATATTGTTAAAACAGAGGGACTATTTTGAGAACAGTATTCAAAATATGAGGGTTTTTTTAAATGAATGGTCTTGAGTCCTGAAGCCACAAGTAAAAAAATCCTACACTTTCAAACTCCTCTACTTTCTCACTTCTAAATGTCCTACATAAAGCTGACAGTAAATTTATTCAGCAGATAAATCTTAGTGAAGACTTTTTCATCTCCTAGCTTTTTAAATTTAAAAATAGAGAGGTATAAAGGGGGTATCAGCTGCCCTATCTTTCACTGTTGTAGAATACTTAAACAAATTCTCCTAAAGAGAAGGTCCCTGATAATCAAAGTGGGCAAAGCTGGTAGATATCAAACACCTATTTTAAGCAGTCCACTAAAAGGATATAAGCAGAAGCTAGTTGTTAGAAGACATGATTGAAATTGTGGAATTAATGGATTTTCTCATTCTTTTGTATAAATTTTGCTATTCTTTCATTTCCGTGCTTCAGTTTTCCCTACTTAAATATATATACACACACCACATGTACACGCATACATGCGCGTATTAACTGGCATCAGCTCTGTGTGTATAAACTTGCTTTTTAAAGATTTAGAAAAGCACAGAACTCTACTGTTACACTGGAGAAGTATCCAGAAATAAAGAGCTGAACACTACAGATCTAACCAGATTATTTTGTGTCTCTACATACTATTTAAGTCACGGCTCTTTTAAGCAACTTACCTTATCCATCCGATCTTTCTGTACACCATACTTCCCACCAAATCCTTTCGAGTAATCTAAAAGCAGGATAAAAAGGTTAGAGTAGGGAGCTTGTTGTCCCTCCCATCTTTCTGCCAAATGCAAACAGCCATTTCAAATGCAAATAGCCATTTCAGCTGCATGCAGAGATACAGTGACAGCCGCCAAAGAAAATGCAACTTGTTTTTTGATGCAGAAAGGATACATAACTGCAAGAGCCTTCAGGTACACCAGCACATGACAGATTGTGGGCCACATGCATTCTTTGAGTAAACATTAAGCTGAGGACTGATAAGGTATCAAGCAAGGAGTAAGGGATGAGCCCTTCTAATGCATCACTTCTGTAACACAGCCTTTCACAGCACCAATTCTTAGCCCTCTGCAGTAATCATATAACCTAAGCCATTTTGCTTTGCTCAAAGGAGCGATATCCAGTCTTCGGTGACCACAGAGGTGTTTTATTCTCTTTAACTCGGCAAGTTCTAAGAATGGCAGGAAAATATAACAAATTTCTCATTCTGGTGGATTTAATCGTGATACTCAACTGATGAACGTTGAAGTCATTGGTAATAACTCCTGCTCTACATATGGAATGGGGCAATTCCACAAGACAGCACGAGCCTGCAACAACTCACCACCACAGAAACGGGGTGGCTATGCTATTCCATACCACCCCTGAGCTGCACACACTTACTCTCACTTGATGCTGACTCTAGCACTTTTTATACTCCAAAATCAGTTTAAACTTGCTACTGGCATTACCAAGAAAAACCACAAGCCAACCCTAACAAGAGTAGCTTTCTGCTCTTTCTAGTGAGTTGTACTCAAGAGAAATGTCTGACACGCACCAGAGCCAGCGCAATAGAAGCAGCAAGAGCATGTGGCTGAAAAAACACTTTTCTGGTGGCAGTGAGCTGTAGGAATGTGCCCTTAGACTCTGTAGATGGACAGGCTTTCCTATACGTCCCTGGAATACAATTACAATTACTCCTCCTCCTCTCAGCCCCCAAACCAGTTGGGTGCCCTAGCCAGCTATTTTAGTGTTTGTACTTGGGCTCTGCTAAGGCACATCTGACGCTCTAAAAGTCTGAATTTGTGTCACTGTAGCACAGAAAAATATTGACTATCAGAATGAACAACCTAATTTTCTTCAGCTTTGTATGTATTTTCAGCCAGAATAAATATACTACACTTACATTTTCCTGATCCAGACTTCTCACTTTAAGATAACGGAAAACCAGGAATTCATGGTTTGTACCCCAACTATTTCACAATGAATAAAGAGAGCATTATAACAGTATTTGCTCACCCAAGAACCACAAACATTCCCTACTTCTTGTTTGAAAGACTACAATAATTTTAAAATGATCTTGCCATAACCCATTGCTTGTTAACAGTTACATGCATGGTCCTTATCTGAATATTTTTCCACCAGTTTATCCAGGCAAAACTTCACATTTAGACTCCAAAACTGGTAAGCACGACATCATTAACATCATACTAATAATACTAAACATAATAATGTTGTTATCATCACACTGTACGTATAGCTATTAACTAAGTGTGTAATGTTGTAGAGCTGTTAACTAAACATTGGATATCTGTTTCCTGAATACAGCCTTGCTTTATGCTACATTTTGAGAATAAAATGGAAGAACATTGCTAGATCATGTAGGAATAGAAGCGCAAGAAAGTGTCTGCACATTACTAGCATTGATCTACTCAGACAACTATTTAAGACTGTGTGAGAAGTGGCTGCACTGTTAAGAAAGTAACAAGTGAAAACGGTGCCTTGTTGAGATTCATGCTTGGCTAGTTTCTCCTTGTAATCAAACCCCACAGCAGATGGGTCCTGCCTTTCTGTCTGTACACCAAATTTCCCTCCGAAACCACTCTTATAGTCTGAAAAAGCCACATGTAATAAATTAAAATGAAGGGAGGAAAATAAATAAGTTTAGTCAGAGACACTCAGAATAATTTTTGCAGTATTTCTCAATTACCAGTAATTTTGGATGGTGGAAAAAAATATCAATACACTTTTGTAAGAGTAAATTCAAAAGAAGTTTCCACTTGAGATTAAGAAGAGATCAACATGATTTATCAGACATAAGAACACCATTCTGAAGTCACAGAAAAAAGCACTTCTCAACATGTTTCATACATACTGCATAATGCACTTGCATTTCATTGACATTATGAAGACAAACACATATTTGGTATATTCACCAAAACAAAACAACATACAAAAGGATACAAGAGAATAAAATGAGCTTCCTTCATCAGTGTGGTTAACATTTGTACACTACAGATCTGATTTTTAAGATAGGGTCCACAGAGACTCTCCTTCACATATTCCTACACAGCACTGTTTAAAGGAAGAAGGAATATTCAGCTATGACCATTCCCTACTGCTGCCTCAGGAGAGCCATTTTAATATATAGTATAAAATGAGGGCACAAAAAAAAAAGGAGGGCTGCAGGTAATGCTCTCACAACAAATCTGCTGGAGCATCCAACAGAACAATGGTCTGAGGATCACTTTTATTTTATTTAATTTTTTTAAAAAAATAATTAATTAATTTTTTTTAAGTTAAGAGTGGTGACAGGCAGACCGCTGGGAAACAATCATTATTTTGTAGATTTTCTTCTGGGTACCAGTATTTCATAAGACTAGGTACCTCACAGGCAATGAGAAAGGACAGCATTACATATTAAGATTTCCCTTGCATGAAAACAGGGGTATACATAACACAAACCAGGAAAGGGAGATTATCTGTGGAGAGTATAATGAAATTGCTAATTTGTGGTTTGCACAACTCATCTGAAAAAGAAAAAAAAATAATCCAGGCTACCTACAGACCCATGAAGCTTCTCTAGTGAGAACTTATCACTAAGTCTGAACTTTCAGTGACTCAGATGTGTTAAACTTGCTTTGCAGACACCAGTACAACCAATACACAGCAACCGCTCAAACACAGAAAAAGGAGACTCGTCAGCTACTGTAAGGTTGTGGCCAAAGATACCAGGGGAGGAGGGTTCACACAGGGAAAAGTCAAAATGAGGGAAGCTGGAAAGAATGGCAGAGAATTGTGAACTGATATACCTTTCTGGGATTCGTGCAGCTGCACTTTCTCCTGGTGATCCCAGCCAAGCGCACATTTATCTTGTCTGTCTGTCTGCACTCCAAACTTGCCTCCAAACCCCTTTACATAATCTGTGTGCATGAAGTTTCAGAAAACATTATTGCAGTTTATGACTGTAAACAGTATTTAATAAAAAAACAGTAACACATTATGGGATAAGCTGCCCTGTCACTAATGATACTGTCTTTCACTCTCCTTCCCCCTGCTACACTACCTCAACACAGGGAAGGATACCCATTCAGTAACTCTAGGATCACGATGCAAAGAAGCACCACAAATCCAGTGAAGATTACAGCATATAGACTCAATAATACTCCAAGATTTGAAGAATCTGATGCACTTTCCACCTAAAGCCATATAACACATACATATATATACATGAAATGTAGATTTATAAATAACAAAGGACTGGATACTGGATATCTGAATACCATAGATCTGTGCAATTACACATTTATTTAATATCCATACGGACATAAGGTCCCTTGGAAATCAGAATGTAAAACTCGAGGACAGTTTACAATGCTTTCCTTTTCATTTACGGGAAACAAATCTGCATACATAAAGGGCATACACACATTTACTACAAAAAAAAAAAAAAAATCCTAAACAAAATTTTTTTTCCCAGGTTTAAAAGGCTGATTGATTTGAATGAGTATTTTTGAAATAAGATAATAAAAACCTTTCTGTGATTCATGTTTTTCCGTTTTGCCTTGATATTCAAAGCCAACAGCACTTTTGTCCACTTTGTCCTTGTCAACACCATATTTACCACCAAAGCCCTTGGAATAATCTAGAGATAAGAGTGAAGAGTTTTGTTTGTAAGTGTTCAGTAACAAAATACTACCTCAAAAAACTGTGACAGTCAGACCTGCTAACATCACATTACATTACATTACATATTAAAAGAAGCACTGACATCCCCGGTTAATCTTGATTCTGGACACTGAAATCATAAATTCTTCAGAATACACTCTCTCAGAATGGAAAATAAAATAGCATCATATGTAGTTCAACTGCTGGGCGGTATCAGCAATTCTGCTACTTGACTCCTTGATAAAATTCTGAAGACACTTATAGCAAAGTGAACTTCAAAACCATGTCAGCAACAGCCTGGATGCTTTTAAACAAACACCCCCTTTTTCTCTTTAGCATTTCTAGAGTGCAAACATTTCTTTGAGATAAACAGAAAACAGATGGCAAAAATGTCAAAATTTTTCAATGAAATGGTCGATTTTTGATCAGATATGCCTGGAAACCCGATTAGCAACACAATATTAACTCTAAACACTACCAACTCTGATAAATGTTTTAATCTATGAAAAGCCGATTCTTCTAGAAACACTTCTCTGTTGTAGTTAAACTGCTTACAGTCTCATTACTTTAATTGACAGCTTTTCAAAAGAAGTTGCAAAAAACCTCCAGACAAACCTATGTGCCCTGCTTCCAAAGCAACAGCCGTTGGATTATCCATTAAAACCAGTCAGAATCTACGGTGTAGGTTTCTTTTTCAGAACTCTAAGTTTTCAGCAACATAACTTTTATTCAGTGCTAACTTTCAGCAGGTTAGGAGCGCAACAGATGTAAAAAAATTAGTATTTTACAACACTGCCTATCATGAGTGCCTACCACACCAGAGTACGAACCCACCAACACATGTGTCTACTCACCCTTCTGTGACTCGTGTTTCTCAGTTTTACCCTGGTAATCAAACCCCACTGCACTCTTGTCCACTCTGTCAGCCTGTACTCCATATTTTCCACCAAAACCACTTGAGTAGTCTGCATTGACAGTAAAGCACAATAAAAATTAAATTATGAAGCTTTTAATAGAAACATCATATCCTTGCAATCAAGCAGAAAAAAAAAAGTTATTTCAGAACTGAAATATTAGCACACAAAATCAAGTTTAAACACAGAAAATAAGACGGGCAACAGTCCTATAGCTTATGATGGTCCCTCTTAAATCTACTCCCCATTTCCTTGTCTTAAAACCTCATCAACTCATGAAATGACTTTGAAACTCATTTTTTCATCTTCTCTTCCACCCAATCCTCTCAACATTTGATTCACTGAGAACACCACAGTGAGGCCTCACTAAACAAGGTCTTTTACAAACAGTAACAGAACAGACATCTATTCCATTATTTATAAAAACAGTGTATCTACAGAGGCAACTACCTCACCACTTTACCTTTCTGGGAGGCGTGCTTCTCAGTTTTCCCCTGATACTCAAACCCAACAGCTGACTGGAAGAGAAATAAAAATGCATGTGTAATGAAGACTTAGATATTAGTAGAAAAACTGTGCACTTCAGTGGACAAACACTGCAGAAAGTGTCTGTGTCTTTCCATACTGCTCTGACCTCCTTCATCAGGAACATAAATACCTATTTAACTTATAGGCCATATTCATTTACAGGATAATTTAGTACATGTATTCATGGCAAGGGTTTTTGTCACCCCTCGCCAAAACAAATTGTACTAGCAACATACGGTGGTCTTGCCAGGGTCAGCAATTCAGTACAACAGGAGTTCAGCATTTCCATGCAGAGGTTGTTAAACAGTCTTGGAACGGGACACCAATTATCCTGCCCAGTAGCTTCTTTTGAGATACAGGAAAAAACATCCCCAAATCCCTTCTGCTTCTGTAGCGTTCACACAGATTTAATCCTCATAGAATCATTGAATGGTTTAGGTTGGAAGGGACCTTAAAGATCATCTAGTTCCAACACCTCTGCCATGGGCACGGACACCTCCCACTAGACCAGGCTGCTCAAAGCCCCATCCAACCTGGCCTTGAACACCTCCAGGGATGGGGCAGCCACAACTTCCCTGGGCAATTTGTTCCAGTGCCTCACCACCCTCATAGTGAAAAATTTATTCTATTCGAAATCTCTCCTCTTCCAGTTTGAAGCCATTACCCCTTGTCCTATCACTATGTGCCCTTGTAAAAAGTCTCTCTCCAGCCTTCTTGTGGGCCCCCTTCAGATCCTGGAAGGGGCTATAAGGTCTCCCCGGAGCCTTCTCTTCTCCAGGCTGAAAAACCCCAACTCTCTCAGCCCGTCTTCATAGAAGAGGTGCTCCAGCCCTCTGACCATCTTCGTAGCCCTCCTCTGGACACGTTCCATCAGGTCCATGTCCTTCTGACGTTGAGGGCTCCACAGCTGCACGCAATATTCCAGATGAGGTCTCCCCAGAGTGGAGCAGAGGGGCAGAATCCCCTCCCTCGCCCTGCTGACCACGCTGCTTTTGATGTAGCCCAGGATGCAGTTGGCCTTCTGGGTTGCAAGCGCACATTGCCAGCTCATGTTGAGTTTCTTATCAACCAACACTCCCAAGTCCTTCTCCTCAGGGCTGCTCCCAATCCATTCTCCACCCAGCTTGGAGAGAGAATTGCCCCGGCCCATCAAAGAACACAGCCTGGCTAAAATATCTTTTCAGTTTTCTTTTCAACTCATTTCTATTTCCCATAAGGGCTTTTTAGTGCTTTGCTTTAAACAGAAATTAATCTCTCGAACAGTCAGTGTTCAACAGTGCTGAACTTCAAATACAGCAGGAAAAGCAGACCACACCAGCATTTTAAGGTATTGGAATTTTTCAGCTGTACATACAAAATGATATACTCAATTACCGCTAGTAGCTGCAGTATGAGATGAAATTGCTTACCTGGTCAACTCTATCGGTTTGTACTCCAAACTTGCCACCAAACCCTTTTACGGAATCCACTTGGGAGCAATGCTTAGAAAGCTTGGATTGATACTCGTGTCCGACAGCTGACTAAAAGAAATTGGAAAGTTCAGAAACAGCCAGCAGTTCTATACAGCTCTGTATGTAAGAGAAAACACTGCCACCAAGTAACCTGAGGATACACTTCATTACAAACACGTATCACTGCCACTCTTCCTGTTGAAACTAACTTCCCTGGAAATTGCTACTCACTTGAGAAGTCTTCACAAGACTGTCGCCATGCTACCCGTACAGCCTAGGCAAGGAAGTGCCAAGAAAGACACCAACAGCTGTATTTTATGAAGCCTTTTTTACACTCTGGATTTTTACTTCAAAACCACAGGAATAAAAACAAGATACAGAATCTTGACGGTGTTCATGAAGAATTTAAAATAAGGATTAGCTCAAGATAAAATACACAGCCTTGTATTTAGGCACATAGCTACGGTTCTGTTTTAGCTGGTATGAGACTGCAATCAAATACAACTACAGCTAAGTCTTCCATGGACATTCTTTCAGGGAGGCATCCTGATCTTCTGCATAAATAAAATTAGGTATCTTCTCTCTATACTTTCTCCTCACTTGCAAAAAGGCATTGCAAAATGAAACGGTGCACCTATACCAAGAGAGAGCTCTCTGTGCAGAAGGCATCCCAGCCCTGCAGCCTCCCATTTGAGCCTGTCCCTGGAACTCGAGCTGAACACAGCAAGCCAAGGCGCAGTTACATCGCACTGTGGCAGGCTTCAGGTAAGACACAAGGATATGTAATTACACGCCTGAAAGTATATGCAGATAGCATCTGCTAGTGTCACATTAATCTAGTGTTAGGATACCCTTCTAGATCCTGGAATTGATGCTAAAGCCTAGCACCTCGAGGGGTGCTACATAACACAGCCAAAACATATTTTTTTTCTTGTCCGGTGTCAAAACTGAGAGCTGGCCAGAGCAACTTGCAATTTACCACTTTTGAGTCTGTTGCTCAAATGCATACAATCCCTGTCTGAGGCAGGAAGAAAAGACCCTACAACCTCCTGCACACAGCCGTATCCAAATTGAGAGGCTGCACCCTGTGACAAGCACCTCTCCTGACTCAACACCACCATCCACCTCATGTAGTACCACCACCTGCAGCTCCGCAGGTCCCAGCACCGAGCACGGGGCAGTCAGCATCCGCGGCAGCAGCAGAGCCCCCTCCATACAGCTGCCCAAACTCTGACCTTTGAGGAATAAGAAACTGCTTATCTCCTACCAGTATCAGACAGCTGGACCAAGGTGAATTAATTTGAGGACACAAGGTGTCTAGGAACCATAAGTAACTTGGGCTTTTACAGTATTTGCCTTTTTTTTTTTTTTTTTTAAAACACAGGTGCTGTTGGGGGAACATTCCCAGCACTTAGGAAGGCAGGAAAGCAAAATACTACCACACATAATGGTTGAAGTAATTGCCAGGTAACAGAACGAGGATGTCAATAATAGGACACCACCTTAACTTATAAGCAATGTAAAAGCTCCTTTCTTTTCCTGACTTACTTGTTCTTTTTGCAGGTGTTCTGTGGTACAGTAACCATTAAATGTGACAGAAAAGACTACCACCTCCCTTTCTTCTTCCTGTTACACATTACATTTATGTAAGACATGAAGCTTTAAAAATCCTAGGTTTTATGTGGTTTTACATGACCCCTCTTTTGTTATACCAGTTGAGGTAGGTAAAGGTTTAAGTGTGTTGTTTTCTTTATGTGGTACCAGAACTTTCGGCATTTCATCAAAAACCAAGCATTACAACATACCCCTTCTTAGAAAAGACTTAGAAAAAGATTTTTCTTGGAAACCTGTATTTCAGAGTAAATTGCCCTCATAATTCCTTAGCACAATACTCTGCTACATTTTAAGTCAGTTATGGTGGTCTGGCATACTCAATGATGTAATCATTCATTTAAAGTCAGCATCAAGGTTTTGCCCTAAATGCAGCAAAAATCTGTACCATCCACAATACTGCAGTAACACTCACTCACTTCAAGTGAGTCAAGCCTTAATACTACAACACCTGCACAGAGCCACAGATACCTGTGAAGGAGAGATATCAATGAAAAGGTTTCAGAACTATACCTATAAAGCTTTATTTTAAAAATGAATTATGAACGTATCACTCAGATGGGCATGACCATCATGTTTTTCCTGATGAGTAATTCTTGCCTACGGGAAACAGTACTCAGTTTTGTTTCTTTCTTTTTTCTCCATGGACACAGGTGAGGGATAAACTGCTGACATTAGAGAGCTTTGCAGCTGCAGAAAGAAGCCTAATGGTTGGATCTGCCCAGCAATTCCTTTCCCAGAATCAAAGGTTAGGTTTGCCTATTTCAAAGGCCCATACAGCAATTTACTCTGGAATATGGGAATTCAGAAAAAAATTAAGGCTGACAAATTATTGGAAACCTATAAAGTAAATAAAGTAAGAAAATAAAATCATTCTTATTTAGGAAACAGTTTGGCTCTTATTTTAACTGAGTACATAAAAGAAACTAGGCAGAAGCTGATATGCCTAATTATCACATGGCTAATGGCATTACCTTAAGAATTATCATTACTTTTGTTAATAGAGCATAACTTAAACAGCCATCAAGTCCTCATGTAAAACACTACCATCTGACTGAAGTACAATACTTAGATTGTATTTTTAAAATACTTAGATTACTTGTCTCTGTCCACAGTTTACCACTGTTTAAGAGAGCTGCCCTCTAATTTAAAAGAAGCAGCATGCCCTTTCCTTCCTTCTTTGGCAACCTCTATATGCATAGAAGAGCTGGCACAGCATCAAAATGAAAAAAAAAAAAAAATACTGGATTTATTCATGCATGAAGTACTTCCTTAATTTAGAAATATACTTTTAGAAACTTAAATCTTGACTCCAGGGAAATCCACCCAGGACATAAGCAAGTAGACTTGCTCTAAAGACAGAGCAAGCATCAAACAAAAACACGTGGGGCCATTGCACATCCCAGAACTTATCATCATCATCCACACATTCCTAATTTGCCACCTGAAATACTTGTTCCTCATGCTTCAAGTACTTTAGTTCAGTTCTTTCTGTAGGAGTATCTTAATTTAATTAGGGAACAGAGCATGATGGTCTGACAGATTTGGGTAACAGTGGTTACAGGTGTTCTTGTTAGAGCACTGTAAGTGTCATGCTTCTGCCCTCAAAATGAGCCACCACTGGGTATAGCTTATGCCATGATCTGAGCTTCTGCATCTCCGGACCCAGCAGAGTTGGAACACCTTTGCACCTTCAATAAGTTTAACTCACATACATAGTTGTGCTGGTCACAGGCAAGGCAAGGCAGGGCTCATAATATCATCCCAGGGAAGCAATCATACTTACTTTATCCATGCGATCTTGTTCAACGCCAAATTTCCCTCCATAGCCATGGGAAGCTTTTGGTCCTGTTTCAAGTTCCTTCTCTTTGAGGTTCTGGTGTTCTTGGAATACATTCTCTCTCAGCTGATGAATACTTTAAAGACAGATAATTAAGCACCAAGTCTTACTACAAAAGTTTCAGAAGATAACTTCAAAAAGATGCAAAATGATGATAAAAATATCATCTTAATTAGAAGTTGGACAACTTGTATTTTTCAAGCCCTTCCTATTTTTTCAGTGCACAAAGCACTTCATCTGAGTCTGAGAAACAGAATTTATTCTGCTGCAAAACATTGTCTAGCGAAAAAAAAAAGAACCAAAATGAAAGCAGTGGTTTTAAGACTAACAAAGAAGGCTATTTTGCTATTTGAACAATCAATTACCCAGATTTATATGTGCCTGAAATGTTTTCTTCTCATGTCCTAATTTAAGTTCTTTCCAACGCTTTTTATTTAGATGGCAACTTTTCAGAATAAGGATCATCTCTTATCATACAGTCCCTATGGTAACGGGACTCTAATTCCAACTAAGCATTTTGGACACAACTGTAATGCGAAATAAGGATGTAAGGAGACCTGCATCTCCTCTTCCCCACGTGTTCGCTTGCAATATGCAGGAATTGAACTTACAGTAGTGCAGGCTGCATACAAGAAGGACAAACTAAGATGGTAATCTGTACCTTAAAACACTTCCCACCTGAGTTTACAGCTTCCTCAGGCGTAATTCAACCAGTAGGCGTCCCCACTGCACTCCAAATAGGGCAGAGTAAAATCGAGCCCTGAAGTAAGCCACATAGTTCAGTCTCTCTCCATTTGCAACACCGATGACATTTATTCTTAGCTTTGTACCACGAGGGTTGATGCCCCAGAAATACACAAGCAAAACCAAAATGAACATCACCATCACAGATTTCCTAAAGCTACTTTAAAGTGAAGTCTTAGACACTTTTCATAACAAGTACAAGATTCAAAAGATGGATCATTTCTGTCTCGCATAGTCCTTCCCGATGCATTCATTTGCTTTTCTGTCAGAGGGCTCAATTTCTTACTTTGCCAGAATTGTTATGAGTTTGGTAGCAGTTTTCTAAACAAAGCCTAAGAATTAAGGGACAAAACGCACCCTTAAAGTAGCAAACTGGAGCTGCTCAGATCACCCAACGCAAATTTCTCCCCTGGCAGTATTGGCTCTTACACCAAAACAGAACAAAGAAACTTTCCAGACACAAAGAGGCAGGAAAAGTAACATTTCCAGTTACAAAGAAAGATTTAAGAGCCCCTGCGCCATAGTTCTGATCTTAATTTCAGATCTGAAGATGCTGACATATTTGAAAGACCAGCAATCTGGCAAATAATCAATCTTCTACGAGACTCTTGTTTTAATTATGAAGATACAAGTAACTGAGAACATGAGTTGATTAAGTCGCCTGGGATTGTGACTATTAATAAATTTAAAAGAGAGCTGCCTTACTTGATGTGCTCTTGATGGCCGGATCCCTTCACAGTTTTAGCTCCCCAGCGCTGTTCTTTCTCACTCACATCATTCTGTGAAGGACACATAAAAAGAGTTAAAACCCAAAGACATTACTAGCTATCTGCCCTTTAGAATTCATAGCAAAAGCCTTCAGCAGTTGGCAAGATCAGAAGAGTTAGAAAACCAGCTAACACCACCTTCACTCCTCTTCTGCTCTGAGCCCTGTGCTTTGTCCACTGCTGAAACGCACGGAGCACACATTCAGCCCCAAGAAACTGCTGCTTCTTGACACAAATCTCTGCCACACAGACTTCCCCGCAGTACCCAGCCAAGACAAGGTAGTCTGATAGTTAATCCCTCACAGGCACAAAACCTTAATTCTCCCTCCCTCCAGAAACACGCTCCCATCAGTTTATTTTGCTGAGACATAGCCCCCGCCCTGAAGAATTACTCTTTAACGTGTTATGTAACACACTTCTGCTAAATCAACAAAATTTGAAAGCCATACCACAAAATCAGGATCCGTCTCCCAGTCATCAGCTCCGTCATCCTGATTGACAGAAATGGTGTGGCCTGCAGTAGCCTTCCACATCTGCAACACCATCACAAGAAGTACTGTCACACTCCAGTTACGTCAACTCATGTTATATTATGTATAAGCTGATGGCGGCACAATCCAAAATTCCCAATAAAGCACATTATTTAACCACATAAACAGAAGCTACATTTGCGGTGAAAGTAGATTTGATCATTGGCTCCCAGGCTGTCTTCTCAAGCTGGTCTGAAAACACCTTTTTGTTTTCCTATTGGCAACGAAAAAAGGTTAGGAGCAATCGCTGACATGACTTCAAAGAAAACAATGAAGTCTTTTCCTCGCCCAAATTAATGTGTCTTTTCTTCATTCACTGCCCTGAAAAACTTCTCTTTCAACGTATCTCCAAACCAACACGCACTTCCGAAGACTCGCTAATTCTAGATCCCATGTGTATATTTAAGGCATAGGAACAGTGGTTTTTTTCCCAGCCACTACTAATGATGAACATGGTATTGTTTATTAGGCAGTATAACCTACGTGTTTCCTCTGTTGCACAAGGAGTTTCAGCATTATGAAAGAAATCCAAACAACTGTAAGAATTTGCATGCAATCTAGACATTAGTCCACCTGCCTGCAACAACAGAGTACACGAGTTACTGCGTTTCTCAGATAATCCCTTGTGAAATACATACGCAAACTCAAGTGTCTTGCCTGACTTTTAGGAGAAAGAGAGGGCGAGTGCTGGAGTACTGACAGCAGGAAGCAAAACTCATAAAAAGGCGACTAATAACATCGAGAAACAACATTCAACACTTAAGTGGCTAATGATTTTGGACATCTCATTTTCTGGAAACCTTATCCCTTGTGGAGTATCAAGTTGGACACTTTTAATTAACACTTTGGAACGTGACTAGTGAGCAGAATACCTGACCTGCCCAGTACTAGTGGCTGTATTTTATAACCTTTACTCTAGGTAAATCAAAACAAATTAATTCTAAAGAGCAAAATAACCATACCCCCACCCCCAAAAAAGCTTCCTCTTCTCTCAGCTTTTTCAGGCACATGAATCAGAGGAAGGATTTCTTTTCTTCATTGCTATTCCGCTACAGTTCCGTTCTTTAACAAACCATCAATATGTCCACTTACCTTTATCTAAGAATAGATTATAAGGATGGTTATCACAGGCTATTTCATTCACACGAGCATAATCCAGTAGATAGAATGAAAACTCCCTTTTAAATGAGTAGCTAATAATCCAAAGGTAAAACGCACGCACAAAAAAAAACACCGCTGGCTCTGCAGCCTGACAGAATAAGCTGATCAGCCAGTTTTATGGAGCGCTTCAGAAATTTCAGGACTGGTAACAAGAACAAAAGCTACTGAAAAATTGGTTGTCAAACATCAAGATAGCAAATGAGAGAGTGGCCTGGAAGGAAGGTGTGAGAGCAGAGCAGATGACATCCTCACAAAGTAGGAGTACCTTTCCCTTTCTGCTTCGTCAGGTCTCTCATCACCAAATTCCTACAGCAATTAAGGAACTAACATTTATTAAATTAGTTAATATCTAGAAAGCTTACGAGACTACACATTTATAATAAAAACTGTTGGAAAGCGGAACCGAACCAGCTCAATAAGGAAACTCAACGTGGGGTCCAAGGTCTAACTTTATAACCAAACACAAACCTACGGTCACTCCTAAGAAGGACAGCTTGTATCCCTCCCTCCGTGCTTCACCGCACTCTACGCTGTGCAAGTCATTTTGAAACGGAATTCAGGTGAAAAAAGCTGAAGTGCAGGTATACATGCAGGTGGTTACTCTATATATTTTGTGCAAAACACAACTCCCCACCCCCCCAGTACTTGGTTCAAACAAACTTGATTGTTTTGCTTTGGTTGGGCATTTAAAAGAACAAGAGCTAGATCCTCAAGTCTAGATTTCTTTGCTTCCTCCTCAAACTCTCACAAACAGCAAGTAAGGAAGGAAGGATTTCACACACACACCCTTACCGAATCCAGAATCCACATTTCATCCTAAATTATGCACATAAACGCCAACATTTTTCCACACCTCAAGCCTGTGTTCTGTAAAGTGGGTTACAAAAGGGACCAAAGCAGCCTAGTAACAAGGGATCTCGGGCAAGACCTCTGTTTGCTGGTGGGGAGCTGACAGGAATAAGCCTGGTTTCCACAGCAGCTTGCTATTCTAGCATCTCTTCCAAAGCAGAATATGGAGAAATACGATCTATTTATGAGTCACTGACTCACATGGTCAGATTTCTGAAGGAAAAAAGAAAACGCTACGGTCCAAATGCAAACTGAGGCTAAATATATGCTTTGAATTTACCCGGCCAGTTCTGCTCTTCACCGCTGCTATGACTAATCAGCGATCACAGCGTCCTACCCAGCACCTTTGGCGGCACCCTTGGGAACCCCCCCTCTCCCCCAGGGCCTACGGTCCGGCTCCTGGAAGGAACAAAGGGGGATGCCAAGGCTTTGAGCCCAGGCAGGCGCAGAGGACCAAGCAAGCAGCAGCTCCAGGCCTAGGCCAAGGCTGGATGAGGCCACCGGGGTCCCACCCCGGCCTGGCTACCTGCTGGGCACTCGCAGGCCAGCCGGGCAGCTGGCCGCTCGCCCCGGCTGCCGGGGTACCAGAGGAAAAGGACATTGAAGGCAAACTCCTCTCTTCTGAGTCCACGGCGATAAATAATCTCAGGCCAAACCTCCGCAGGCCATCGGTCACCCCGCTTTCCCCTCATCACCACTGCCTCCTCCAAACCCCCAAAAGTCCGACAGCAGACGCTTTTTCTTCTTTCAGGTTACCTCTGAGCTACTAGCAGCTTTATAGAGTTTAAAAAAAGGAA